AATTTGCGACTGCTTTGCGACCACAATTTGGTCCAAAATAAACAAAAACGTAATTAAACCCAAAACCAGCCCAAAACACTAAACACTTAACCATTTCTTTTCTATCAGTCCCTTTTCAATCGAGAAACCCTAATCCCTTTTCATTTCTCCTTTGATCCAATTTCAAAACCCTAATCCCTTTTGCTGCAATTCTTATTCATTCCCTGATTAATCTGTTCTTCTCTCTCTCAATCCATTTCATTTCTTCTCTAAAACAGTTTTCCCTCCATTTAATCGACATAATCCCTTCTTTCCCTAACCCTAATCAGCACAATCGATTTTATTTATCCTCTCTATCAATCTATTCGCAGATGAGTGGCACTGGAAAGAAGAGGAGGAAGAGGTGGTGCATCTTCTTCGCAAGCCAGAACTCCATCCCCTCTTCCTAATCGGTACGATGTCACTCCAAATCTCCGCCACCGCTTGTGCCCACTTGTCCACCATCTGTCTTGGTGAGGGATTATCCACTGCCTAATCATCTTTTCCAGCACTCACAGAGTCAACGTCGGAGCTCCGAGTCTCAACCTGCCAACTCTCCACGGTCTCAACTTCGCACCTCTCTGCCGCCTCAACCACGAAGTTCTACACACTCTCATCACCGACCTTCTCCAATGTCTAAAGAGAAAACATCTCCAAGGTGTGAAGCTAACAACTCCGAAGCGGATGAAGGAGCCACCTTCGAAGAAGAAGACCTAGTATCAGCCAATCTCACGGAGGACCAGCTGCGAATCCTCAATGCTATGCTCACTCAACCTGGCAGAGAAGAGTTTACGACAGTCCTCTCTCCCATACAGAAGCCGAATACAACATGGTACACCTCTCTCTCTTAACTTATTGTTCTTAACAATAATCATGTTGAGCTGCAATGGAACCATAGATTGTGTGATGGATGTTTAGCTTGTTTGATTTGTGATATGTACTATGTTCGTATAGGATGTGTAGGACGTGTAGCTTCCGTGATATGTGATATGTTCGTGTGAAATTCACACATATGTGTAGGATGTGTAGCTTCGTGTAGGATGTGTAGGATGTGTAGCTTTGTGTGATATGTGTCTTGTTAGAAACTGATGACTGTTTTGGTTAGTACTAGTGCATATGTGATACTGTTCTCATCGTGATATTACATATGTCTGTGTATTGGTTATGTGATATGTACTGGTGCATATGTGAGTCATTATTGCATCATTATTGCATCGTGATATTGCATATGTCCAGTCATTATTGCATCGTGTAAGTCATTATTGCATTGTGTGAGTCATTATTGCATCGTGTATTGCATTGTGATATTGCATATGTCTGTGATATTGCATCGTGTATTTGATATGTACTGGTGCATATGTGAGTCATTATTGTAACTGATTGTTTCTCTGTTTGTAGGTTTGGTCGTGACAAGTCTTCACTGACCCGTAAGATTACCGAAGTCTTTACAAACAAGTTCGATGGTCCTTTTTATAGCTGGACATGTGTGCCTCGGGAAAGACAGGAGCGGTACTTTGTTGAATTCGCGGTAATGTATTCTTTTTTGTAACTTTGATTTAGTTTTTAATCTTTTATGTTTGCTCACTAACATCATATTCTCTCATGTTATTTGTAGAAAACACACACCTGGGATCCCTTAATAACTGGTGTTGTTCAACAAAAGTTTGAGAGTATATGTCAACAAAGGATGAAAGATATGCTGAGCAAAGTAAGGACTTCTCAGGAGCAACCTAATCAGATAGGTGATACTCTCTGGAAACAAATGACCGAGTATTGGAACACTAAAGAAGCCAGAGAGAAGAGTGCAACCACATCAGAGGCTCGGTTGTCTGAACATAAGGGTCTTGGCCCTCACATACACGTGTCAAGCAAAAATCATATCTACAAATCTAACAAGAAATGGTAAGTACTATATCCATACCTAATCACTCAGTTAATCCTTTTAAACTTTTAACTCTTGCATCTTGTTCTTATCATTTCAGGAAGAAGAATTGGGAAGACCGGTGAGTATTGGTGAAGTTTTCATCAAGACTCATACAAAAGCAGATGAGACCTTTGTAGACCGAAAGGCAGAGAGCGTGGCTGAAAGGTATAAGAGGAACTTGGAAGCTAGAATTTCTAACCAAGGGACAGTAGACTCAGATGCTTTAGAGAAGCTAACCGTAGAAGAGGAGAACGACCTCTTTCTCCAGGTAAGTCCTCGTTTTTGGTTTTGTAGTTTTTATTTTATAATATAGTGTGATCATTTGGGTTTTTTTTTTTGTTTGAATCCTTCTTTTGTTGTTGCAGTTGACATTCACAAATGACAGAGGCATTCCATATGGAATTGGAAGCCTTTCACAGTCGCATATCAATAGAAAGAGGAAGTAACCGGGTAGCTCTTCAACATACAAGACTCTGCAAGAACAGCTAGAAGAAGCTCAACGCAAAATAGAAGAACAAGCAGCTTAGAATGCAAGGCAAAATTCTGAGCTTACAAGAGTTTCCGCAGAGAAACAAGCCAAGATCGACAAACTCTCCCTGGTCGAAAGGTATTTGGCTGCAACTGATCCAGGGTTTAGATTTTTTTGGCCGCAAACAAGACCTCTGATCTGCCAAATGCTGCTCCGATGACTTCTGCTCCTCAAACTGCTGCTGCGGACTCTTCTTCTAATCAAACCACTCATCTCTCGGAATCATAGGTTACTCTACCTCTCTCAACTCTTTTGGTCTCCTTTGAACTGTTATCAATGTTCTCTCTAGTAATCTCTCAGAATCATAGGCTCTAGAACTATTTCAATGACTTTGATCTCTTTTTAAACTTATCTCCATGGTTGTATATAGTAACTCATTTTCCAATGGAAGTTACTATGACATTTGACTTTGTATGTGATCTCTTTTTTGTGAACAAATGATATTATGTAATTTAAGGTTTCTTTGCTTTTTCCTTTCATATATATAGTTTCAAATTATTATGTGAACAAATTCTTTTTTAAAATCTATAAGTGGATTCAAATTACAAGTTTTGGAGGAGCAAATTCGTAATACCAAATTATTATGTGAACAAATTCTTTTTTAGTGACTACGTAGCGACTGTTCTTGTGGTCACGAAACTGATGTTTTCTTGTAGTGACATGAAGAAACGCCAGAGCCTCTGCTTAGAGCGATGAATTCACTTTCTTCAACTTCGCCATTCCAGAAGTGATATGTCGCGCATTATGGTATCGTAGAACCCATCCTGCACCTGTAAAATCATTATATTCCTTAAAACTACTATCAAAATTACATTTAATCCACCCTTCTGGAGGAGGTTCCCATTGACTGCTGCGGCTTATACGTGTTACATTATAATGATGTGAATGCTCTGTTTCATCCTCCGAAAAGGCTGGTAACCATTCTGCCACATCTTGTTGCACACGTTCTGAGACGGTTGTACCATTCTTTTATTAAAGATCAGTTCATTCGAGACTTCCAAAGAACCCATGTCATCCAAAATGGTAAGAGCCGTATGTTCATTGGAAGAGCCTATGTTTCGTATATTTGGAACATTCTTGCTATATTGTCTTCAACATCGTTTGAGGGAGAATCAAAGTCCTGAATGTTAGCACATCTCCAAACAGCGTGTGCATATTGGCACTCAAATAAAACATGATTTATGACTCTGCTTGAAGACAACATCTCTGGAAAGTTGGATCCATATTCACTTGTCGAGAGACCAGGCCTTCTGCAATTGGAACAGCACCTGAAATAACCTTCCAGAGAAAGTGTTAAATCTTCGAGAGGATAGGTAATTTCCAGATTTTCTTCTTTAGATCTACAGATCCAGCTGGTGGGACAATGATTTCATCATCAGGTAGATTGTGTGTTGCAAACCAGTATCCGGATTTAACCAAATATCTACCATCCCTCGAGTAAGGCCAAATATATTTATCACCAACGGCATGTTGTGATAAGCTAATTTGTTTTGCAAGATTTGCATCCTCTGCCGTCAATATCGCTAATAGTTTCTCCTCATCCCATTCCCGTTTGTTAGTTTTCCATAGATCCGCTACACAAAGATTTAAATTGTCAGAATTACCATTTGCTTTCCTTGGAGGTAATACAGGAAGCCAATGGTCTTGCCATACTTTCGTTAATCGACCATCATCAATTTGTAGCTGTAGGCCTTTTTCCAATAAGGTCTTGCCTTCTTGTATGGATTTCCATCCATATGAAACATATCCTTTACATATTGACTGCAAAAATGTCGACTTGTTATAATACCTTCCTTTATAGATTCGAGCGAGAAGGGAAGACGGGTTAATTAAAATCCTCCATGCTTGCTTTGCTAGCAAGGCACAATTAAATTGGTGTAGATCCCGAAAACCTAGCCCACCTTCACGCTTTGGTATTGACATTCTTCTCCAAGCTACCCATGGTATCTTTCTTTTAACAATTTCTTTACCCCACCAAAACTCTGTTAGAGCACTATTAATTTGATCACAAACTGTCTTCGGGATAAGATAATTATTCATCGAGAATATATGCATAGCTTGTGCAACTGTTTTGATGAGAATCTCTTTACCCGCTGGTGAGAAGAAGTGATTATACCAAACATTTAGTTTACCTCGGATCTTATCAATGAAAAAGTCAAAGGCTTCAATCTTACTCCTCCCAAATTGTTCTGGGAGACCCAAATATTTCCCTCCTCCTCCAATTTTGTCGATGTGCAGAATATTTTGTAGTAGTCCTCTTCTATTTTCTAATACTCTCATACCAAATATCATTGAAGACTTATCCAGATTCACTTTTTGTCTTGATAAGTGCTCATATTCATGAAGAATTTTAGCAATTGCTTGGCAATCTTGCTGTGTTGCTCGACAAAACAAATAAGGAGTCATCAGCAAAAAGAAGGTATGACACGGAAGGGCATGATCTCGCAAACTTCATTCCTTGAAATTTCTTCTTTCTTTCGGCAATAACCATCATTTGACTTAAAACTTCAGCACATAAGAGGAAAAGATATGGCGAGACTCTCAGCAATGCCAACTAAGTCTTCTGACTCTCAGAGAACTATCTCTGATCCTCCAGCCAAAGCTAAACAGGGATATTCTTCCCCGGAGCACACGCGTAGTAGACCGTTCCACCTCTCCCTTACCAGTAAGACATCACATCTGGGGAAAGGGAAGATGTATGAAACCGGTGAATCTTCAGAAGCAGGCAGCTCAGCGAAAAAAGCTCTCACTTTTGAACCTGCAATCCCAATTGAATCAAACTCTATTATAAGCCATCCCAAGCTTAGCAATGCGATGTCTCTACCCCCATTGGAACCTTGTATCCATGAAAATTGGTATGAACAGACTCTGGAAGAAGGTAGAGAGGAAATGAATCTTACCACATCAAAACCAAATGACGAACAGCTCGAGTTCCCGATGGAAGAGGTCATGGAGACAGGCGGAGACTTAAGGACATTTCACAATGTCCAAGAGAACGAGTTGTTGGAGGATGAGATTATGGAGGATCCAGCTGTGTTTACCAACAATGAAACAATTGAGGGTATTGATGAGGAAGAAGAATGGATGAATGATGATGATCTCTTTGATGAAGGGGAACTGGACGAACTCCTGAAAGATGCTGACAGCCCTGAAAAGGATCAAAATGGAGAAGACCAGGAGATGACCGATGAGCTAGCGATCCTTGAGGCGAATCCGCCGACGTTCCAAGCTGCTTCCTGGTTCAGATCCCCCGAAAAGGCTGATGTTGGGAAGAAACCGGCGGCGGAAGCTGACAAGAGCACCAGGGTGACCGGAAAAAAGAAACCGACGCCGAGATCGCCGGCGGCTCGCAGTTTATCCCTGAAGAAGAGGAATTTTCCTCTGGGCCGTGTCTCTCCAAAAACTAAGGGGAAAGGAAAAGGCCCAAAAACAGGCCCAGGCCCAACTGCAGATCAAGAGGATAAGCCCAAGGGGGATAAGGGTTCTAAGGCCCAGAAGAAAAAACAAAACTCTGTAAGGGGAGGAAGCCCAGAAACCGGTTAAACATTCTCCATGAACGTGATAGGCTGGAATTGTTAGGGGGCGGGAGCCGACCTGACGAAGGATCACCTAGAAAAATTGCACCACTGTTTTTCTCCTCGTCTTTTATTTTTATCAGAAACTAAAAACAATTGGCTTTTTATTTAAGATATGCAAAAGTATTTTGGCTATGACCATGTCTGTACCGTTGAACCGAGAGGTCGTAGCGGCGGTCTAGCCCTCTTTTATATGGATGAACCTTTAGTTACTATCTCCTATTAGGATGAACATCTCATTGATGTAGAAACAAGTCTAGACGGACACAAATTTTTTTTAACATTCGTTTACGAAGATCCGGTCATCAAAACCCGAGAATATGTATGGGAACGTCTCACCCGAATGAGTCTTTCTAGAAAAGAAGCCTGGTTTATGATTGGGAATTTCAATGAAATCTACGGAAACCATGAAAAACGGGGAGGAAGACGGAGACCGGAATACTCGTTTATTCCTTTCCGAACTATGTTAGACAATTGTGGGATGCTCAAATTTCCATTTAAAGGAAATTCTTTCTCATGGGTTGGGAGAAGACGGAATGGAAAGGTCAAGTGTCGTCTAGACAGAGCGGTGGGGAATGAAGAATGGCAATCTGCCTTCCCCCATACCTCGGTGGAATACCTTAAATTATGGGGTTCAGATCACCGGCCCGTGTTGGCCAGAATCCAAGTGGACAATTGAAGAAAGAAGAAGTCTTTTAGATTTGATAAAAGATGGCTGGAAAAATCAGGATTCAAAGAGGCGGTAATCTCCAGCTGGAGCTCTTTAGATGGAATCCCACGTCAGGATTTCCATCGCAAAGTAGCAAACTGCCGGAAGAGTATCTCTAGGTGGAGAAAGTCCCAATTTTCTAATTCCGAGAAGATAATAGAGGAACTTAAAAACAAATTGGATCCGGCCCAAGACGACGAAAACTCTACACTAGACGAAGTAGAAGAAATTAGAAAAAACCTTTGTACTGCTCTACGGGAGGAAGAAACCTTCTGGAAACAGAAGAGTCGCGAACAATGGCAAACAGCCGGGGATAGAAACACAAAATTCTTTCATGCGCTCACAAAACAAAGGAGGAGCCGGAATCGAATCGTCGCTTTGAGGGACAAAAATGGGAACTGGGTGGAAAATGCACGAGGTATTGAACGGGTAGCCTCCCATTACTTTCAAGATTTGTTTACCTCGTCACAACCCCCGGAACCAGATAATGCACTCCGGTTTATCACCGAGAAAGTATTAGAGTCTTCTAACCAGCGTCTCATTCAAGAACCCACAGAAGCAGAAATCAAAGAAGCGCTTTTCGATATCAACCCCGATAAAGCCCCGGGACCCGATGGAATGACAAGTAAGTTCTACCAAAGATTCTGGCAGGATTTCCGCCATGACATTGTAAAATTAGTAAAGGATTTCTTCACATCAGGATCTTTTGATCCCAGACTAAGTCAGACCAACATCTGCCTGATCCCCAAGAAAGAAAAGCCTAGAGCTATGACAGAATTTCGTCCGATAAGTCTATGTAACGTGAGTTATAAGATAATCTCAAAGCTCATGTGTAAAAGACTTAAAAAAAATACTACCTAACCTAATCTCAGAGACCCAATCGGCCTTTATGGCTAGGAGGCTAATCACTGATAACATTATGTTGGCGAAAGAGAATTTCCATGCATTTCGTACTAACTCGGTTTGTAGAGAAAACTTTATGGCCATCAAGACCGATATGAGCAAAGCATACGACAAAGTGGAATGGTGCTTTATTAAAGCATTAATGATTAAATTGGGCTTCTCTGAGAGATGGGTTAAGCTTCTGATGTTCTGTGTGTCATCAGTATCCTACCAAGTGTTGATAAACGGAGAACCAAGAGGGCATATTACCCCGTCACGAGGCTTAAGACAAGGAGATCCACTCTCTCCGTTCTTATTTATCCTTTGTACCGAGGCCCTGATCTCTCTCCTAAATGGAGCAGAAAAGGAAAACCGAATTTCTGGGCTAAAAATAGCCCAAGCAAGTCTTCCAGCCTCCCATCTACTTTTCGCGGATGATAGTTTGTTCTTCTGCCGAGCAGATATCCAACAAGGAACAGAGATCTTCAAGATCATCACATATGGCTCAGCATCGGGACAACAACTAAATTTAGGCAAATCATCTATCATGTTTGGGAACCGAGTTGATATGACATTGAAGCAAGGTATCAAAGATGCTATTGGAATTTCAATAGAGGAAGGCATGGGCATGTACCTGGGGCTCCCAGAACAAATTTTTGGATCAAAAAAGAAAGTCTTCTCTTACGTCCACGACCGACTTAGTACCAGAGTGAATTCCTGGTCTGCGAGACTTCTTTCCAAAGGTGGAAAAGAAATTCAGATTAAATCGGTTGCCCAGGCTGTCCCTACTTATGTCATGTCATGCTTCCTTATTCCCCAAGGAGTGACTGATAAGTTACGGAGTGCCATTGCTAACTTCTGGTGGAGCTCAAAACAGAACAACAAAGGGATTCACTGGATAGCCTGGGACAAGATATGTACCCCCCAAGATATGGGAGGTCTAGGTTTCCGAGATCTACAAGACTTCAATTTAGCTCTTCTAGCTAAACAGCTATGGCGCCTTATCCAATACCCCTCGTCCCTACTGGCTAGGGTTTTACGAGGACGATACTACAGACAATCAGACCCGTTGGAAGATCGTCGAGTCTACTCCCCATCCTATGGATGGCGGAGCATCTTAGATGCAAAACCATATCTAATGATGGGATTGCAGAAGACGATAAGATCGGGTTTAAATACAAGGGTCTGGAGCGAACCATGGATCCCGGATATTAGAGCTTGACCGGCGAGAGCCACCCCACAAATCGGCTATCAGGATCCGAGATTACTTGTTTATTCCTTCATCCGACAAGATACAAAGGAGTGGGATGTTCCTCTTCTTAGGGTTTTTTTTCAACCCGAGGATGTCTCCCTGATTCTAGGAATGAGACCTAGTCGTAATCGTATCCTGGATGGATACGCATGAAACCATTCAAAATCAGGGCTCTATTCGGTTAAAACGGGTTATGACCTAATTGGGAGGTCAAAATTACAACGGGAACCCACAATGGTGGGGGAGCCGAGCATTACGGTATTGCAAAGGCAGGTGTGGAAAACTAACTCCCCCGGCAAAATGAAGCACTTCATGTGGCAAGCTTTGTCAGGATGTGTGGCTACATGTCAGAGTCTAACATACCGACACCTTGGATCTGACACGAGTTGCCCCTGGTGTGGCGATCCCGAGGAATCTATAAACCACCTCCTATTTTTATGTCCCATGGCACTTCAAGTATGGGTGTTATCGGACTTTCCGTCCCTTTCGGGCCTCTTCCCGAGTACTTCTATTTACCAAAATATGAGCTTTCTCTTTTGGCAAACAAAAGAGCTAGGCATGACGGATCCTCAAAAGGACTTATATCCTTGGATCCTATGGTTCATTTGGAAAGCGAGAAACGACAAAATTTTCAACGGGAAATCAATTTCCCCACAAGATACCTTGATCCATGCAAAGGTGGAAGCTGAGAGCTGGAGAATTGCGAACCAACCAGAGGAAGCAGAGGTTTCCCCCGGGGAGACCCCAGCCCCCCCGCGCCCCCAGATACCTATCCCCGCGAACCATCGAGTCCCAACATGTTGGATTGATGCCTCTTGGATTGATCACGGACCTGTCAGTGGACTCGGGTGGAGCCTGGTAAATGCTAGGGGAGATGAGGTGTATGGTCAACAAAGATGCCGCAGAAGCCTCTCCGCCCTCCATGCGGAGATGGACTGTCTATTGTGGGCTATGGCAGCCCTGAGTCAACGACACATAAGAGCGGTGTTTTTTCTGACCGACTGCTCCAATCTAGTGAATATGACGGAATCCCCAGCTGATTGGCCGTCTTTTACGTCCGAGCTAGAAAATTTACGTATCCTTCGTGAGAATTTCTCAGAGTTCGCCATCTCCTATATCCTGAGAAGTGAAAATGTCCGGGCGGATAGTCTTGCAAAAGGACCGAGCAAAAGGACAAATATTCACCCACATCGATCATAACGAGTCGGTTGAGGACGGTTCACAAAACCAACCTCGGGCCGGCCAACAGTGATGTAATAGTTTGGATAGTCGACAAAAAAAAAAAAAGGAAAAGATATGATGATAGAGGATCACATTGAAGAATTCCTCTAGTTGGCCTTATATCACCATAAACCGAACCATTAATCTGCACTGAATATGTGACTATGCACCTAAAATTGTTTATGCACCTATTGTATTTTTTTCCAACTTTTAACGGTGTAAATAAAATAAAATAGGTGTTTAAAGATAAAACTTGGGGACTATGATGAGGCTGAACCAAATATTTTGGCTGGGCCTAAATCGAGATTTCACGAGGAGTCCGGTTCATTAAACAAAACTCGACCCGACCAACCGGACCCGACCCGATCCGGATGAGAAGTTAGCCCACCACGCAACGTCCGTCGGTGAGGATACACCAGTACACCACGCGACGGGAAAGAAACGACGAGCACGAAAAGCGGAGGATCGTCAAATCTCTCGATCGGGTTTAAATTACAGGTAACTATGTCGGCGGTTCTCGCGGCCGGCGGCGGATTAACTGCCGGAGATCGCAGCATTATCACGGCGATTAACACCGGTGCTTCGAGTCTCTCGTTCGTCGGCTCAGCCTTCATCGTCCTCTGCTATTGCCTCTTCAAAGAGCTTCGGAAGTTCTCTTTCAAGCTCGTCTTCTACCTTGCTCTCTCTGTAAGTTTCCCGTTGTTGTCTTTGATTCGTACAAGTTCCAAGTAAAAGATCATGCTAGATCTAGGATTATGTACTGTTTTTGCTTCTTTCCTTCACCGATTTTCGCACTTGGGAAGTGCTGTATCGCTAAATTCGATGTGAACATTGCTTACGGATTAAGTTTCTTGTGCATTGTGGGATCAGTAGTTATGATCTTCAAGCTCTATTGCTTATTGTCGGTGATGTTACCAATTGTTGCAGGATATGCTTTGCAGCTTCTTCCTAATCGTTGGGTATGCTTATGTTTTAACTACTATCTGTCAGTTTTTGGTGACTCTTCTTGAGAACTAGTCATAAGATGATTTGTTACACTTTTGATCATATAGAGATCCTTCAAAGGGGTTCATTTGTTACGCACAAGGCTACACCACACATTTCTTCTGCGTAGCTTCGTTCTTGTGGACAACTACTATTGCTTTCACTCTTCACCGCACTGTGGTTAAGCACAAAACTGATGTTGAGGATTTGGAAGCCATGTTTCACTTGTATGTCTGGGGTATGCATAAAGATACTTGTTTATATCACTGGTTTTTGGGATTCTCTTTGGTTTATGCGCACAATTTTTTTAAGCATTCTTCCTTGGGTTTAAGGAAAGAAATGTGTAAGTATCTGCTTTGGTGATTTAGTAAGGTAAGAGTCTGATTTGGTCTACTTTTTTCTCTTCCAGGAACTTCCTTGGTTGTGACTGTCATACGTTCTTTTGGTAATAACCACTCGCATTTGGGGCCGTGGTGCTGGACCCAAACTGGTCTTAAGGGAAAGGCAAGATTGAATCCTTAATTGAACAATTCCTAAGTTCTATCATGGGGTTTGGTTACTTATTGCCTGTCAAAATGCATTAGAATTGGCTTGGTGCAACTATACGATACATGAATCTGGAATAGTTCTTTTTCAGTTCTCCATTTCTTGAACTTACTCACCGCTTGACCCATGCAGGCTGTTCATTTCTTAACTTTCTATGCTCCTCTTTGGGGTGCTATTCTCTACAATGGGTTTACATACTTCCAAGTGATACGGATGCTAAGAAACGCTAGACGTGTATGTATCCCTCTATCAACACAGTCTTCTTAGTCACATAACATACTTTATTCACTTGTCTGTGTATTAATATGGCGATGTTAATTTTTAGATGGCGGTTGGAATGTCAGACCGAGTGGATCAGTTCGATAATAGAGCAGAGTTAAAGGTTTGTTTTCTCTACATTACTAAATACTTATGTATCTTGTGACCGACTTTGTTTCATTGTTTAAACCTCTCCGCTTGTTTCCTGAAACCACAGGTGTTGAACCGATGGGGATACTATCCGCTGATTCTAATAGGATCGTGGGCATTCGGTACTATCAACCGCATTCATGATTTCATCGAGCCAGGCCATAAGATCTTCTGGCTCTCAGCTCTTGACGTGGGGACAGCTGCACTAATGGTAGCAAAAATCTGCAAGAAACACTAATGATAAAAATTTTCACGGATCATATTTGCTCATCCCAATTCTCTGTTTCTGAATGTTGTGTTTACAGGGCTTGTTCAATTCAATAGCATATGGTTTCAACAGCTCAGTGCGCCGAGCAATCCATGAAAGACTGGAACTGTAAGTTTGCAACATTCTCTATGGGTTATTTCTATCCCCAAGAATCAATGAAGTTTAATTGTCCTGAACTAAAACACATGGTTCTGCTAGATTCTTGCCGGAACGGCTATATCGATGGCTTCCGAGTAATTTCAGACCAAAGAACCATCATCTGATTCTACACCAGCAACAACAACAACAGCGAAGTGAAATGGTCTCACTCAAAACCGAGGAGCAGCAATGACACTACCTAACTTTTCAACATTATATTTCATGGACCGATAACAAGAAGGCGGGTTGTGATAATAGCATTTGGATGGAGATTGGTAAGTTTTTTGGTTGTTTGTTTTGTCTGTTACATCCGTTTACGTGTTATGAGCACCAATACGTTTCTTCTCTCTCCATCAGATATGCTGAAGGGGAAGCACAAAAACTCGTCAATGTGTATATGAATCATTCTTTTGGACCACGAACTCAACAACCTTATATTTTCTGGTGTGAACAAATTATATTGGATGTCTTTTGATCCTCATCTGAAGTTTATGCACAAAGATGCTGGAGAATTTGGATATCCACGACAATGCAGTTGAAATTGCCAAAATAACTTATTTGTTACACATGAAGGTATAACATCGATGTCCACATTCATGTGTAAAGTATGATCTTTCATACAAAAACAAGATAGGTCTGTTTTCGGTTGAAAATTAAAGAGGTCTATATAAATTGAATTGATCCAATGTCAAACAAAATGACAAACCTTTTTAGCAATATAGATTTGTTAGTTCATTTCTATACATCATTAGATACACAAAGATAACAAACAATTTCACCAAATCACAATTTGTTCTTCAAATACACAACACACATCATCATGGTAAGGCAATATTCAATCATGTTCAAAAAAACCATTTTTATCAAATCGATCAGTGAATTATACCAGGCTTCATTAAAAAAATAATCATATACCTTCTCCTAAAAAAAATTTAAAAAAATTCATGGAGACTCCTCCAAAAAAGCTTTCTCCTTTTTTACAAATGCATTGATTAACGCAGTGAAAGTGATTACACCGTGGCTAATTTTCCTCTTCATCAAATTGATCAAAGCTGAGAAAAACAAAAAACAAGCCCCGATGTAGTCACTTTCAATGCATTGATCGACGCAATAACTGGTCAAAAGCCGAGTTTCGTCATCTAAGGAGAAAGAGAGGATTGATAAGAGCTTCGGCAGAAAAGAAAGAAGAAATAACTGGAAGATTGAAAATACGCTCGCACATAAATAAGACAAGAGTGTGTTTTATGAGAGGACAACAAAAAAAGTAGAAGAGTAAGGGAAGAGACAAGGTTATATAAACGAAGATGATAAGAGAGAAAGAGAAGAAGCGGCGTAGAAAGGTTGAAGAAAAGAAGCCCTAATGGTTAATAACTCGATGGGTCTAAAGTTTACAATTTATATCAACTAAGAAAGAATCTGCACTATGCGCGGATCTTGTTTTAATTTATATTTTAAATAATATATTTTTATAATTTATATTGAATATTATGTTTATAATTATTTAAAATATTATATTTTCTTCACTTTTTTCTTAATGATATATTATTTGTAATCTCTTTTACACCTAATTGTGCTAAATATTATAATTTTTCTTACAAGATAATAAAGAATTAAAAAACTACTATTTTAATTTTTGTATAAAAACGTAATCGTTCACTTAAAAATATATGTTGAATATCAGAGATAAATATTTATTTGTTATTCGATTCTCATATTTTTTTATTCTTGTAAATCTTACTAATGTAATATTTGTTAACTTTCTTAATTTTATATTTTGAATTTTTTGGTTATATATTATTGATTCCAACTTTTTTTAATTTAAAAAAGCATGTATGATATTTTTATGTAGACGCCCTTCTTTTTTACTATTATTTTTAATAACTTTTTTAATCATTTATTTAATATTCTTGTGTTTTCTAATTTTATTAGTTGGAGTTTTATAAAAGATTATTTTAAACTTTAAAGTTATTAAGTTTTAATATTTTTTTACTTGCATTAAAAATTTAATTATATTTTTAATTTGAAAATGAAGTTTAAATCACTTAAAAAAGAAAATAGAATGGTGCATTTAAAAAGTTTTGTATTATATAATATTTATAAATTTTGTATATTGAAAATCAATTTGAATTCATTATAATATATATATATATATATATATATTAATCTTTATTTATATGTTCTTTAATGTATTTGCTTTAAATTTAATTAATTATTTATTTATTCATATTTTAAATTGACATATGTCACTCTCTCCATTGTTGATGTGTCACTCAGCTTGAGAGAGTTGATTGTCTTTTATATATAAGATTGGTTGGCTTTGTTTAACTTTATTTTTGGTTTAGCAAGTAAATGAATAAATTGCAACATTACTTTTGCAATGACTATATTATATAATTTTGTCTTGGTTTTGCAATGAAAAGAGTGTTCAACTTTTTTTTGCTTTAACAGGTAAATAAATAAATTGCAATCTTACTTTTGCAATGACTATATTATATAATTTTGTCTTGGTTTTGCAATGACAAGAATGTTTAACTTTCTTTTAGTTTAGCAAGTAAATGAATTAATTACAATCTTATTTTTGCAATGACTATTTTATATAACCGTGTCTTGGTTTTGCAATGACAAGAGTGTTTAACTTTCTTTTGGTTTAGCAAGGAAATGAATAAATTGCAATCTTACTTTTGCAACGACTGACTATATTATATAACCTTGTTTTGGTTTTCAAATCTAAATTAATGGATGTTATAGGTAACAAAAATTGTGTAAATAAAGTCAGAAACATAAGCATCAATAAATATGTTTTACAGGAGATCCCCAATCTACTAACATACAATAGTAAATCTCAAATCTACTGTTTTTTGTTTTTTTTTGTTTTCTATGGTTATTACACCAATCAGCATTTGTAAACATAGTTTAAGTTCAGTACCCTAACCTGATGATACTGTATTCATCTCACACTAATGTTTCTAGTGAACATGAGGTTGACCAGGAATCCTACAAAGTTTAAACTTGAACACAATATTACCTTGAGCTCCTATCTCTTTCCAATAATCCTTAACCCAATACAACCCATCATAAGCATACATCTTCTTTCCACTTTTTTTCAATCCCTTCTCTCCACGTATCACTCTCACTGGAGTCTTTTCCTTCATGCTATTAGCTAGAGCCTCGTTGCCATTAACCAGCTGCTGATCTTTAACTACTTCATGATCCTTGCTCATCATGTAACCTCCTTCACCAGAGTAAATGATCACATCAGACTCGAATCTGTCATTGTAACCATTATCTTCTGATGATACAATGCTTGTAGCTAGTTTCAAGTTTCCTCTGCACATGTAATCAATCCCTCCCATGAGGTCGAAATGGAGACCGATCAAGCTGAGTACTGATTTGTATTCAAACTCATCACCAACTTCGATTCCAGGGACTGGTCCAATCATCTTTTGACTATTCACTTGCTCCCCTTCTTTTATGAGAATAGCCCTTGTCTTTAAATCTATCTGACTCCTTGCATCTTTGGTTCTCCACGCCGCTCTGCCTTCTCCCGATCCAGCTCATTAAACACAAGTTGATATCTATGCAACACCTCAAGAACTTTCTCTCGTGGGCTAATAACTTTGTTAATCCTGTTTTGTTGCATGGCTTGGATGGGTCCAGTGAGTTTGTTTGGCTGCCTGTGTTGAGTTTGTTTATCAGTCTTTGCTCTGAATGCATCTCCATTACTCAGCAGGAAACGAGAAGAATCCGATTGATGAGAAGAAACGGTAGAGAGATAAAAAAAGAGGCGGCGTAGAAATTTTGAAAGAAAGAAACCCTAATGGCTAGTACTTGAATCAAGTAATGGGCCTAAAGTTTACAATTTATATCCATTGGTTGGTTTTTGTTTAACTCTCTTTTGGTTTAGCAACTAAATGAACAAATTGCAATCTTATATATGCTACCTTATTGGTCATACTCTTTCTTTTATTTTCTTTTGTTTATAAATCTTCTGTAATTAACAGATGTGAAAGAGATGAGTGATTGCATATGCAACTCGTAGTCATCAATTGTGGTCATTCGACAGAGGTGTCTTTGCTGTAGTTTAGCGGTAACACTAAGCCTTCATCATTGTCTTACGTTTAAAAATTTATTTGCATTTTCAGGTGGTGGCTTTTCCTTTCAAACTTCATCATTCATAACGTGTAAAGTCGCCTTCGGATATATATTGGTCTAACCGAAAAGTAAATTCCTACAACTATGCAGTGGTCTGGTGTTGATCACTAGTTTTTTTGTCCATCCTAACTTCTATAGTTAATTTTGAGGGTAGTTTTCTGTGGTCATCGTGATTGTATGGTGTACAAATCATAACAGATTTATTGTGGAAATGATGACTCCAATGGTAACCACTATGGAACCAATACGCTGAGGATGGCTTCACTACCAAAAGATGTGATAAGTTGATTTCAAATGGAAGAAAATCAAAGTCTAAATATCTGAAATTGACTCTGATACGGAAGATGTGATAAGTTGATATCAGATTCTCAAAATTCCAAATCTATTGTTGGAAGCATCGGGGTTTGACATTTTTTATATGGTATACAATTGAAAGGTTTAGCCGAGAGATGCTACTTGTGCTCATAATTCACATCAGATTAAGATTGAATGAAGTATAACCTATTCGATCGATTAGCGTAAGACTTGTCTACAGAAAGTATCGTCATAATCACTTATTTTGTTGTATTTTTTTTTCACTATATATGACGCATATATCTGTTTATGTAATAAATTATTTTCCAAAAATTCCGTATAACTTTGTAATCCTTATTTGAAGAAAGCAGTGAAATTTTTTGTCGTAAAAAATATGCATTAACTATACTATGTATATAAAGGTATGTAAATAAATTTGCAAGTAAATGTAATTGCAAAGTTATACATGCATTAACTATATTATGTAAATAAAGGTATATAAATAAATTAGCAAGTAAATGAACAAATTACAATTTTAAATATGTACTGACTGTACTGTATTAATAAAGGTATGTAAATAAATTAGCAAGTAAATGAAAAAATTGCAATCTTATATATGCATTGACTAGTCTATGTTAATAAAGGTATGTAAATAATGGTTTTGTTAAAATTATTAATATATTTTTTTATCAAGCTGTGTTATATTTTAAACTAGAAAATTTTATTAATTATGAAGTATTAATTTATATATTTTTTACATACCTTCAAAGAGAGAGAGAGAGGGGGGGAGAGAGAGAGAGAGAGAGAGAGAGAGAGAGAGAGAGAGAGAGAGAGAGAGGGGAGAGAGAGAGAGAGAGAGAGAGAGAGAGAGAGATTAGGGTTGTTAATGATAAGAAAATGAGTAAATAAAAGAGATATTTATAGGAAAATATAAGACTTGGGGAGAAAGGAAAAGAAGAATTATTCTTCCAAATAAAAAGGAAAAATTAAAAAAAAATAAGATTTGAGATTAACTAAAAGGAAATATAATATTTTTTGATGATAACAAAAAAAAAATATTTAATCTGTGGAATATTCCAAAAATCTAGAAATCAACTTAAACTGAAAATTAAAAACCAGAAACATACAAATTTTTATAAACCGAAGATCAGGATGTTAAAATTTTGTTGTAAATTTCAAGTTTCTCTTTGTTAAAAATATATATTTGCATATATTCTATGGATAATGGACCTTATGGAATAGTTTACTTCAACTGATCGAGAGCAATTTTTGGTGTTGGATTACTCCCACCGAATTTAGGTAGTCTATGATTGATTTAAAAAATGTCAAGTTTTATTTAAAAACAAAAAAGGATTCATATGGTTATATTAAAGGAATAACAATTGGAATTTGTCATTCATCTAAACTTTCACTATATGAAGTGAATATAGTGAAAACGTTTCACTGAAAAAAAGTAAGCTTGTTAACAAAATTTTAAAGTTGTTCTTCTATGATCGTTAAAAGCAACGAGTAGATAATACTGATTATGACAGTTAACAAAATTTCTTTATCAACAAGTGGAACACCATAAAGTTAACATAATTTTCCAATCATTCTTCAACTGCTGATTTCTAGTTTGTTTATCTTTGTTTATATGTAATTTTTTTTTATTTCAACTATTTACACCCAATGTAGTGAGTATAAACAGATACAAACTAAACAGGCATAAAAATTGAAACAAAAAAAAAGAACCAACCCAAATTAACTGATTCGGTCTGGTTTTCAGTTATGCCCAAAATACTTGATGATTCCTCCATATTGATATTTGTAGGTATCCGAGTATATCCGAAACCAAACTATTATCCAATCAAGTATATGAATTATTTGATTAAATTTATATACCCAAAAATATTAAATATATTATGGATTTTCAGGTATCACATGTTTAATTTTATAGTTTTAAAAAGGATTTTGAATATATTTTTGGTATATTTTCTTTAATTTCTTTTCAGTTGTAAGATATATTTTTGGATTTTGGATATATTTTTGATATTCAGGTATAATTTAAGCATTTTGGGTAAAATAAATATCAGTCTTGAGGATACTATCTGGGATCCGGTATTCGATTCGGAATCCGCTCCGATTCGATCCAAAACAAGATATCCAAGTGGTTCAGATACACATTCAGATAGTAAAATAATGTATCTGATGGATCCGGGTACAGATTCAGATAATAATATAATAATGTATCCAGGATCTGGTATCCGATCCAAAAATCCGCTCCGATTCGATACAAAAACGGATATCCAAGTGGTTTGAATACACATCCGGATAATGAAATAATGTATTCGATGGATTCGGATACAGATTCAGATAATTGAAAATTTTATAAACGGATATTGAATATCCGTTTGTGAAATTAAATATCTAATGTAGGCCATGTTGGATAATAAATAAGCCCATGATTAATTGTTAAAGTTAATAATGTTTTGAAAAAAAAATAGCCCATTACTATCACTTCATCTCTCCTTCCGATAAGCTTATCGACGAGATGACTATAACCGAATCCAGCTCCACCAGTCACTATAATCCTCAATCTTTGCCATCCAATACTGACGGGCACCCGACCGGTTTTACCTTCGCAGAAATTAAAAGGAAAACTTGGATGGCGAAAAATTATCCACGACATTTGTGAAAACAAATCTGGTGATGAGAGAGTTAGATTCGGCAACACCTAAACAGGAGAGAGAAGGCTGGAGGATGAAAAAAGTGGATCCGATCAAGAGAGAGCTTTATTGCCAGTAAAATAAGATCTCAGAATTGTCAGGAGAAGCTTTGGATCTGGACATTTAACCGTTTGAGAAGAAGAAGAAGAAAAAAAGAAGATAATGAGAAAATAAGAGCGATGAATTCGTGATTTTTTTTTTCATTTTTAATTAGATATGCCAGGTTGGATTCAGATATCCGTGAATATTTAAGTTTTTAATGGATATTCAGAACCTAGATATCCATAGTTTTCGGATTCGGATTCGGATATTAAAGTTAATTATCTGGTGGATATGGATCCAGATTCTGATACTTTAATACCTGGAGATCTGGCTCCGTTCGAGGCCTATAATTACCAGAACAATTAAGATAAAAAAAATTCTGATTATTTACTGGTCCTTAAATCTCGAAACCAAACCAACCCAGAAACCGAACTAGAACCAAAATAAAAACATTCCAGTAGCTATATAGATCATAAATCTCCCTACCCAAATTATTCAGAATCAATCTGTTTCTAGCCAGAACCGAACTGAATATCCAAATGCCCATGGCTAATAAAGAACCCATATATATAAATCAGTTTGATGGAAAAAATTCTGATAAACTTTTTTTGCATAATCTAACATCAGACCATCTCCAACCACTATTCATCTAAGCACCAAATTTGGTGTTGTGAATAGTGTCAAATTTGGTGTTTGGGTGAATAGTATTTTTTTCATCTCCAACCACAAACACCAAATCTCACACTAGAAATTTTTTATTTATTACATTATTAAATTTAATATTTTTAATTTTTAATAGTTTTGATAAATAGTAATTATTTTTATAATAAATTAACTATAAATTATATATAAAAATAATTACAATTGATAAAATAAAAATAGCAAAAAATAAAATAGATTATACTAATTCTCAGAATTAGCATATTCAGATCACACATGTTTGATTAATACATTTTGAAGTTCAATATGAACTTCCCGATCTTTAATTTGCCTATGCCAAACTAAATTTTTTGTGTATTCATAATAATTATAATTAAATTTTCATATTAATTACACTTAAAATTACATAAAAGGTAGTTATAAAATTTAATCAATTGATAAATAATATAATATTTATATTATAATAAAAACGTAATCATAACATATTATTATTTAAGAGTTTTGTGAATAGTATCACACCAAATTTGGCGTTGCACTATTAACAAAACTCTAAAAAAATGGCGTTGGAAATGGAGTCCCATTAGAGATGTGAGAACTCCATAATTGAAGATATGAAGTCCAATTGAAGTTGCTCTCAGAATAACATAAAAGAGATTTTATGAAATATGGTATTTAATTTTATCTAACATAAGATCATATGAATCAACAAAAACAAATAAAGAGAGGAAAAAATGTACCTGAAATTGGCAGGAAATGAGAAGAATCCGATTGATGAGAAAAAACAGTA